TGTCCTACATCGATATTCCGAACGAGTGAATATGGATGCTCTCTGATCAGCACGAACAACCTCTAAGTCTGGAACTAGCATGGACTTGAAAAATAAATAATGGGTTAGCCCCACGAGCAAGTCCTTTCTACTATAACTTAATCAGAGAACCGATAAACGATACATCCCTAGCCAAACTTATACAATAACTATATAGTCGATACATAAATATACACACTAAGACGTTCACTGAGATATAGGGCAGTCTCAACCAGATAGAGGGTATCTTAAGAAAAATCACACACCAGATGGTCAAAAGTCCCTGTACTACCAGGGCCCACACATCTCTTATATCCAGCTACTCATCTTCGACAATATATGCCTCAGTCTTAACCACTTATGTTGAGACATCAAGCTCGTATTATGGCTCACACATATATATACTTAATAACATCATCAATAAAGCCATATCTAACAATAGCACAATGTAGAATGTCTTGACTTATTAGCCAGCTCATTTAATCATTAAAATATCAAAGAGCCTACCTTATTAGGTATCTTAATGATCCCATCTCAAACATACATTAAATCCATCAGACTATATTTAGCAATGGTATAACATATAATCACAGCCATAAATCATGCTTGTCAATTATAAGTACATCAACAACTATTTTTAAAATCATAAATCCAACTAGTCCATTTAATTACACAAATTAAACATTATAAAAAATTAATTTGTAACTTAAAAGTTAATTTAATTATTTATAGTGATCATATCATGAAACGTAAGAGTTATAACACAATTTATGCATTTAAATCTTATAACACTGTTCCCGAAGCTTTAGGACATACTTAGAATTTAATAAAACCAATTCGGGGCCATTCGAAGCATATCACTCATACTGTGCTTAAGCATAGTATAGTGCTTGAGTATTATCCCTTAGTGCTCGAGCACTGGTTTGTAAAACCAATTCAGCAGGTTTGTTTCAAGTCTGAAAATCCATCGTTATAAGTCCTAAATCATGAATCTATGTCTCAATTAATTCCCATTATTAATATGAAGCAATTATACATGATTAAAGAATCAAAACCAAGTTTTCATACATTAATTTGTAAGTTCGAACTCTGTAACAACATACACATATATACACATATATAGGTTAATTTTAATCTGACTATAGCATAGAAACATATTTAATTCCTCTGTTTAAATTCCCTAAAGTCAAGCTAATGATGCATAGATTAAAACTTGCCTTGTGATTTTTGAATTGAAAAGTAAACTCAAAGTTCTCTACAATCGCTCCAGTTTTCGTTTCCAACTCCGACAACCCATTGTCACCTTCATTTTCCTTCTCCAGTCACATTCTTCTTCCTTCTCTTTCTCTCTCTCTCTCTCTATTTCTCCATCTCTTTTCTTCTTCTCTCAAAACTCACGTATCAACAAAACCTTCCTAATAACTACACCACACACACAAACTCATAGTCCATTTACTTAGCCCAACTAATTTAAAACTAAACTAAAATAAAACAAATAATCAATTAAACAACCAATAATTAATTAAATACAAGTAATAACAATAGAACATCTCACACACATCATAAAATTAAAGGTAAATTACACTTAGACCCCCTGTGGGTAGGTCATATTTCACATAGATTAAGATTTTGATTTTAAATTTCACTTATATTTGAATTAGTAATTTAACATTTCACTTACACCCTAAAGGTCAATTTTTGATGGAGCCAAAGTAATTTTGAGGTGTTAAATGACTATACTACTCTTTGACCTCATATTAACTTTTTTTGTGACCAAACTACCCCCATCACAATCACACCGCCCCGTCTCTCTGTCATGAACCTTCTTCTTTCTCTCTCTACCTTTCTGTCATGATTGTTAAATTTTTCGCAGCCAAGAAGAGAGTTTTAGAGAAAGAGAGGGGCAATTGCAGAGAAGGGCAGAAAAGATCTTTGGTGTCTAAAATTGCCAAATTTGTCTTATTTTTCTCTTTCCTCAAACCTTCTCTTCATCTTTCAATTTAGGTTTTTTTTTTTTTCCCCACCACTATGACACCCTATTTTTTCCCACCATTATGACACCCTGTTTTTTCCACCGAATCACACACATACACACACACAAACACACACATATATATATCACCACCACCAATCACCCCCACCATATACTGCCACCGCCGGCCTGCCGCATCACAGCTTCACCACCTATAGCCACTTCTATCATCACCCCCTACAACCACCACCAAATTGACACCAAATCAAACTAAATAATCACCTTTCAAAAAACAAATTGACACCACCCACAACTACCACCAAGCCTTCACCTTCATTCTTGTCATAACATAGCTTCCACCACAGAGAACCCAAGACCCAAAATAGAGCCCTGACGCCATCATCACAAATTACTCTGACTAGAAGCCGATATGAACTGGGATTTGCTACTTGGGACTCGCCGGAACTGAGTTTGGTTTCATTGACACTAGGAGCTCGTCGGAATTGGGTCAGTTCAGTTCTGTTGTTCATCATCAGAGATGAACTGGGTTTCGCCACTTGGGGCTTCACTAGGATCACAAAATGTGGATTTTCGCTGCCGATTACAATGCCGTCAAGGCTTTTTGATGCGAAAATCCTCGCGACTCGGAACAACGGCATTTACCTGCAAAACTAAAGGACGTCACCTCGAATGGCACAGGTGGGGTGCCAGTCGAGGACCCTCTGACGATCAAGTTAGTACTTGTAATCGTATCTCATAATAATTGTATATATTCTGTTTAGGGGTTTTTTCTCGTCCTTTCTTTAACGGCTTTGTGCCCTATTTATAGCTGTTGAGGATGCAGTAAGTGGCATGGGCCGGTTATAGCTCGCTGGCATGAGATCGGGTCGAACAATTAAAGTATGGCCCATGCAAAAGCACCACGGAATGGGCCGAACTTGGAGGATCCACTGAGGAAGATCAAGCCCATTGGAAAGTCAGGCCCAAAAGGAAGAAAACCCTTGAATAGAGGCCCAATGTAATCAGTTAGTGAGAATATTTGTATTGGTCTATAAATAGACCATGAGGGGTGGACAAGAAGGGGGATTTTTTATTCTATTGAAGTGTAAGAATTCTAGAGAGAGAGAAAAGGGTGTATTTCTTGCATCTTCAATTGGCGCCGTTTGTGGGAAACGACGAAGAAGATCGATTCGAGCCTGATCAGTACCATGTTAGTTCAATCAAGTTTGTGAGTACACAGTTTGATTTCTGGAAGTTGAATCCAGATCAGTGAGATTGTAGTTTGTTTAGAGAGAATTCTTGTTTATTGTGGCTTCTGAGGCATTTGCTTCAGGATGACACAACTGTGATTTGCTCAATTGCAGTCAGATCCGGTGAGTTCAAAGCTAGAAAAATTCAAATCTAGCAAACGGTGACCACGATTCGGTGAAGTTGAGCCCAGATCTAACGGAATTTGCATCGGTGACGCTCAAATCTGTTTCGGTGTTCGTAATTGATGCCTTTGCTTCGATCCGGAATCATGATAGGGGGTAAGAACTCCAATACGGTAGGGAACGTCCAGTAGGTGAAACTTGAAGAGTTGATGAGCATGATCGAAGCTCTCCGGAGAGAAAATGCGGATTTAAGGACTGAAATGCAGCGTCAAGAAGCTCTAGTAATTCCGTGACCACTCCCGGTAGGAGAAGAAGGTGCACATACTGATGTGGCACATCACGGCGAGGAGGTCGGAAACAATCTGATAGATCCTCACTGCGAGGAAATCCGGAGAGACGGTTTGCCGCTAAATCTTCGTCGTATTGATGATCATGAAGGATCGACTCACGTGGATCCACGGTGTGAGCAAATCAGGCGAAACGAAGCAATGACTTTTGATCCACATCAAGAAACGCTCAGCCGAGGTGAAGCAATAGAGTTGGATCGTCACAAAGCTATGCCTCTATGGCGCAGAGACTTTGCTGAGGACAGATCATTCGATCCGACTTATCGGCCTTCTATGACGACGTTCGACTATCACAGCTCAGAGAGGAGGTCTGTAGACCAAAAAGCAACCGCGGGGTTCCAAAGGGAAAATGAAGCACTCCGTTCAGCAGCTCGAATGGTTGATTCACCGTTCACCGATGAGATTCTGAATGCTCCGAGTCCGAGGAAATTTTCCATGCCTGTTTTTATTCTGTTCGACGGAATGAACGATCCGATCGATCATGTGTATCACATCCAGTTGAAAATGGCTCTGAACACTGAGAATGACTCTTTAATGTGTAAGTGCTTTCCTACAAGTCTAGCTGGACCAGCTCTAAATTGGTTCAAGAACCTGCCGAGGGGCTCAGTGGATAGTTTCCGAAGCTTCTGTGATCAGTTCATAAGCCAATATTACGGAAATAAGCGTTCAGCGAAGGATATTTCGAGCCTATTTACAATGAAGCAGCATGCTGATAAGCGTCTCCATGCTTTCCTAACCAGGTTTAACCTTACCAAGAGTATGGTGATTGAATGTCACCCTTCAACGGCAGTTCAAGCATTTATACTGGCCATGACCCATGGCACCCCATTCCACACAAGCCTGGTGGTGAACATGCCGAAAACTATAGATGAACTTAATGAAAGAGCCGATGGATTTGTACGCTTGGAAGAAGAAGAGGCGGTAAATGCTCGGAAGACATCCGTCATATCCACGGAAGAAAAGACCAAAGCAAAGATCAGGCAAAAGCAGGTTCAGCCGCAGCGCTCCTCGTGGAAATCTGAGAAGAGGGCCAGAGAGGAAGAGCTGGTTACTCCATTGAAAGTTACCTTAGCAAGACTGTACTAAGAAAATAAAGATAAGTTCCGACCTCCTTTACCAATCTGACAACCCTTCGAACAGAGGGATCAGTCTAAGCACTGTGCATTTCATTCTGACTTTGGCCATCAGACTAACGAATGCAGGAACCTAAGGAGACAGGTAGAGATGCTGATAGCCAGAGGGGAGTTCGCAAGTTATATTCAAGGCCCAGCGGTGCAATAGAACTGACCAATGGAGCACGTGAAGAGGAATCAGAAGTCAAATTCTCACAACACGCAACCAGTTCGAACAATCAATGCAATTCACGGTCGGCCAGAGCCTGTTGAAGAGTCAGATGAACTGCTTCGAACACGCCTTCGCCAGGCACAGATGAAGAGAAGGATAGGCAGTGTAAACACTCTGCACCAACAAAGCGCATCAATGCAGATAAAGTTTGACGGAGCAGATCTATTGCGTGTTCAGATCCCTCATGAGGACCCGTTGGTCGTAAGTTTGACAGTGGCCCAATGCTTGGTGCGCAGAATTCTGATTGATCCTGGAAATAGTGCGAACATTATGCCAAGGGACACATTTGATCGGCTCAAGATCAAACGGGATCGGCTGAAATCCACCGGAAATCCTTTACTAAGGTTTGATGAAAAACGAGTGGAGCCTATTGGTACGGTGGAGGTAGCGGTACATGTTGCCGAGAGGGTTCTGATGGAAACCTTTGTGGTTGTTGAAATTCATCCCTCTTACAATCTTCTGATGGGCAGAGGGTGGATCCACAGAGTTCAAGGTGTTCCTTCCACTTTGCATCAGGTGATGAGATACCTGGGGCCAGACGGGACCAAAGTGATTGACATTCATGCGGACCAGGTTGCAGCAAAAGAATGTTATTCAGTAACGCTGAAACATGCCGGAAAAGGGAAAGCTCCTATTCGTTCAGCAAGTCCGAGATAGCAATTACAGGAGCCTCCCTCCAAGTAGAATGGGGAGGAGGAGCCAGTGGACTTGACTGAAGAACCCCTGTTTGATGTGCAGATCGATCAATTCCGACCGGAACGAACAACCAGAGTGGGGGGACGACTCGCTGAGGAGGAGAAGCAGGAGTTAATTAATTTCTTGTCTCAAAACGCAAACGTGTTTGCGTGGAGTCACCTAGACATGCCAAGGATTGATCCTTCCGTATCTTGTCACTCCTTGAACGTTAATCCCAATGCAAAACCTGTAAAGCAGAAGCAGCGACGGTTTACTCCCGAGCACAACCGGATTATTTCTGAAGAGGTTGACAAGTTGCTTGATGCGGGGTTTGTAAGAGAAGTGTACTACCCTGACTGGTTATCAAATGTTGTCGTTGTGCAGAAGAAAAATGGGAAATGGCGAGTGTGCATTGATTTCACCAATTTAAACAAAGCCTGTCCGAAGGATAGCTTCCCGCTGCTAAAGATTGATCAAATGGTGGATGCAACTACTGGTATGAGCGTTTGACCTTTTTAGATGCTTATTCAGGTTATAATCAGATCCCCATGGACCCTGCTGATGAAGAAAAAACTTCTTTCGTTACCGAACGCGGGACGTATTGCTACAAAGTCATGCCATTCGGACTGAAGAACGCCGGAGCAACTTACCAAAGACTTATTAGCAAAATTTTTAAAGGACAAATAGGGAAGACGGTGGAAGCTTACATTGATGACATGGTGGTAAAAAGTAAGAAGAAAGTTGACCATGTGAAACATCTACGAGATGTATTTGATGTGTTGAGGCAATATAGAATGAAGCTCAATCCAACCAAGTGCTCATTCGGTGTAAGTTCTGTCCAATTCCTGGGGCACGTGGTTAATCTCAGAGGCATCAAGGCAAGCCCTGCCCAAGCAGAAGCTCTGACTAAGAATGCCGAACCAACGACAGTCAAAGAAATGAGCAGGTTCATTTCCAAATTGTCAGATCGCTGCAAACCATTTTTTGACATAATACGAAGCCACGACAGACAAGTTTGGGGGGATGAACAGCGCCTAGCGTTAACTGCTATGAAAAGGTATATACAGAACCTTCCGGTCCTGTCAGCCCCAGAACCGGGCGAAAAATTATTTTTATATCTCGGAGTATCCAGTATCGCGACAAGTGGAGTTTTGATCCGCTATGCAGAAGGGAAGCAATATCCAGTGTTCTACGTTAGCAAGACAATGACTGAGGCCGAAAGACATTATTCAAAGGCAGAGCGGGTGATACTCTCGCTAGTGCATGCGAAAAGAAAGCTCAGACATTATTTTGAATCCCATCCTATCATCATTCTAACCACTTTCCCTATCAGAATAATCCTGCACAAACCAGATCTCTCCGGAAGAATGACGAAGTGGGCCATAGAGTTAAGCTTATTTGATATCACATACGAACCCAGAACAGCAGTCAAAGGGCAAGCGGTGGCAGATTTTTTACTAGAATGTGATTCAGAGGACATGGAGGAAGACCTTCGTGGTTGCTTATGGAAACTCTTCGTCGATAGATCCTCAAATCAGATGGGTGCAGGCATTGGGATCAAACTACAAACGCCAGAAGGTACATCATTAAGTCAAGCACTTCGGCTTGAATTCGGAGGCACGAACAATGAGGCGGAGTATGAAGCATTGCTGGCCGGAATTAAGCTTGCCAAGGAGTTGAAGGTCAGGAATTTGACTGTTTTTAGTGACTCCCAGTTAATCGTTCGGCAGGTGAATGGCGAATATGAAACCAAGGATGAAACGATGGAAGCATATCATTCTGCTGTTATGCGGGAGGCCAAAAATTTTGAAAAAATTGAATTCATTCAAATTCCGAGGGAGCATAACGAGGATGCTGATAGGCTAGCATGTAGTGCCTCGGGTTCGGGAGAAACATTGGCAAGGGTGATTCCAGTAGGAATATTAAACCAGCCATCCATTTTTGAAGAACCTTCGGGTTCAGATCCTTGGCAAGTGAATGTTATTCCATATGAGCCAAACTGGGTTGATCCGATTATAACTTGCATCCGGGATGGTACTCTGCCTGAGCAAAGAGATGAGGCTAGGAAAATCAAAGCGAATGCTGCGAAGTACGCCGTAGTGCATAACCAGTTGTACAGAAGATCTTTTTCCGGACCGTACTTAAAGTGCGTCACCCCCACAGAGGCTCGGTAGATACTACGAGCTATTCATGAAGGTGTATGCGGAAACCACTCAGGGGGGAGATCTTTAGCGCTCAAAGCAATGACGCAAGGGTACTTATGGCTGAGCATGTCAGGAGATGCGGAGGAATTGTCCAGAAGGTGTGATAAGTGCCAAAGGTTCGGACCACTGATTCACCAACCACCTGAGGACTTGCACGTAATGGCCACACCATAGCCTTTCGCATAGTGGGGGATGGATATAGTTGGTCCTCTACCAACTGCAAGAGCTCAGAACAAGTATGTGTTGCTGGCTACAGATTAATTTACTAAGTGGGTGGAAGCAGAGCCCCACCCGAGCGTTACTCAAACTCATGTGAGACGATTCATTTGGAGTAATATTATTTGCCGGTTTGGTGTTCCGAGGTCAATCGTCTTGGATAATGGGACCAACCTTGACAGTAAGCAAGTAAGAGGGTTGTTGGAGGAATATAGAATTAATCAAAAGCTGGCAGCAGTAAGTCACCCCCAGGCCAATGGACAGGCGGAAATCACAAATAGAACAATCTTTGCTTGTATCAAGAAGAAGCTTGAAGAAAAGAAAGGAAAACGGTTAGATGAACTACCGAACGTCCTATGGGCTTACAGAACGACTCCAAGGCGACCAACCGGAGAAAGCCCATTCACCATGACGTATGGTACCGAGGTAGTTATACCAGTCGAGTACTTGGTTCCGACTGTTCGAAGCTTGGCATGGAACCGAGAGCATAATGACAGTATGTTGAGGTTTAACCTCGATTTGTTGGAGGAAAAAAGAGATGCAGCGGCGGTAAGGCTTGCATCCTACCAGTAGACGTTTGCGAATAGCCATAACAAAAAAGTAAAGCACAGAGACTTTAGACGGGGTAATCTGGTTTCGAAAAAGAAGGTGGGGAAAGTCAAAAAGATGATGTCACCACGGGAAGGTCCATACAGAATTGCAGAAGCCATAGGAAAGGGGGCATATACCTTAGAGACCATGGCCGGAAGGCTGGTTAACAAGCCTTGGAATGTTATTTCTCTGAAGAGGTATTATCAATAAAAGTTGAATTTCAATATTGAATTTTGTTCATTTTCAATTGAATGCAGGTGAATGTACAAGTTTTTTAGATTTATAAAAATAATATTCCTTTTTAAGAGGTTGAGAAAGTAAAAATGGCAAAGCCAAGTGGCAAGTAGCATTCTAGCCGAGCGCCAGGCGCCTAAGCAAAGTAAGTGGCAGCTGGCACTATGAGCCGAACTCCAAACACTTGCCAAGAAATAAAAGGCCAAGTGGCAAGTGGCATTCTAGCCGAGCGCTAGGCATCTAAGCAAAATAAGTGGCAGCTGGCACTATGAGCCGAACGCCAAACACTTGCCAAGAAATAAAAGGCCAAGTGGCAAGTGGCATTCTAGCCGAGCGCCAGGCACCTAAGCAAAGTAAGTGGCAGCTGGCACTATGAGCCGAATGCCAAATACTTGCCAAGAAATAAAAGGCCAAGTGGCAAGTGGCATTCTAGCCGAGCACCAGGCACCTAAGCAAAGTAAGTGGCAGCTGGCACTATGAACCGAACGCCAAACATTTGCTAAGAAGTAAAAGGGCAAGTGGCAAGTGGCATTCTAGCTGAGCGCCAAGCACCTAAGCAAAGTAAGTGGCAGCTGGCGCTATTAGCCGAACGCTAAAAACTTGCCAAAACAAGTAAAAGAATGAAAGTGGCAAGTGGCGTTCTACCCAAGCGCCAACCACTCAGCAAAATAAGTGGCAGCTGACACTATGAGCCGAACGCCAAAAAATTAGCTGAAAGCAAACCACTGACATATAGGGAAGAACCAGATCAGATTGTTGAAACAAAGTATTTACAGAAAGAGTTTGATCAGAAGTCGGCCATCTCATTAATAATAATGTTTAAAGAGTTACAAAAATGATGAGGTATACAGATGGCAGAAATACAAAAGAAGGAAAGTCAATACATCAAAAAGGTTCTAACTAAGAAGCGTTTGCCTCGTCAGCCTCTTGATGGTGCTGAACGATCTCCTCATTATTGTTGGTATCACCATCCTCACGAGGAAGAGAGTCGAGGTGAATGACAGAATCGTTCTGTTGAGTCCTACCCTCAATAACATTGGAAGAATCATTCGGCTGAGGGTTATCTTTAGCAGTAGTAACAGATGGAGTCACGGTGGACAGAGGAAGAATGTCCAAAGTCAGAGCAGCAGAAGAAGTAGGAGTGATCCGGGAAGAGGCAATCTCTTGGCACTCATCAAATATGCCCTTAGCAGTGGTGGAGTCTAGATCGGCATAAGTACCCGGAGGGTCAATCTCCAGTTCTTTGTCAACATCATCAGGGGTAGAACCAGTCTGACCCTCATCTGAAACACGATCGGCATAACCCTCTCGGAACCCCTGAGCATATCTGAGGGCCCCAACTCTAGAAAACCGAGCATGCAGAGCTAGCATACCACCGTTTACCCTACTAATGGTGTCGAGTAAAGCATTGCGCTCGTCCAAAGCCCTTTTCTCAAAGGCCATCCGAGCGGATTGCTCATCACTCAGAAGGCGTAGAAGTTCTTCCTTTTCAGCCTTAAGGGATTCCCGCTCGGTATGCCAGACGCTCTTTTCGAGCTGCAATGCATTCCTCTCATCCTGAAGAGAGTCGGTCTCCTTCCTCAGCGAGTCCCTCTCCTTTTCAACCTTACCAAGTTGAACCATCAACCCGGTTTTCTGAGCAACCAAAGAATCCTTCTCCTTGTTCGCTGCATTAAGGCTGTCAGAGAGCGCACGAGCCTTGTCGTTCACAAGCTTAACCTGCTTCTGCATAGCCATCATCCTGTACAGGGTCTGTAGAGATATATAGGACAACTGGTTAAGCCGAGCAGATGGTTAGAAGAAACTAAGTGTAAAGACTGTATAAAGACTTATTGACTAAGAGGCAGAAGTTACCTCCATGGCAGATAAGGGAAATCGGCTGAACACTTCCCTCTGAGACAGACCCTTGGCTGCCTTAATGTCCTTGGGAGTCCACATGCTCCTGTAGTATGCCATAGCGGTCTGACTATCCTTGAACATAGTCTCGTTCGGTTTTACAGATAATCCGTCTGTTCGAATGAAGCGAGGGTTCCATGGTGCCGTTCCTAAAGCGGAGGCATGCCCAGAAGGGGTAGGGGGCCTAGTTTGAGGGGGCTTTGCTAGAGATATCACATTCGGCCTAGAGGGCTTGACCCTCTGTGACGAAGGAACATCATCGACGCTGAGGGCACTATCAGGCTGGTGCTTTTTTCCTCTTGCCTTTTCCCGTGCGGAAGCAGTAGTAGAGCCGGGAAGATTGTTAACAGAGGGGGTCACGTTTGGACTGGCGGTCACTGTGTTGGCAACCGGGTCA